TCTATTTTCCAAAACATTTTTAGGTAACTAATATGACTGTGCCCTGCTAGAATTAGGTACCTAATATGACTGTGCCCTGCTAGAATCGTATAAATACGATTCCCATCTCCCATTCCCCAATTGGCATCTCTACTAGTGGAGTTGCCAACTCTACTGGATTTCCATCTCTACTGTGACATATACAGCCTTGTCAGAGCTCTGGTATATATCAGTAGGCTGTGCAGGTAACCAACTTCGTTATTCCTCGAGGCCAATCGAAAGTCGGATGTTGATGGTGGAGAGACTTGGCTGTGATGTTCGTCAGCTTGCACCAATTCCCTCTGAGAGCACTCTCGTACGTTTTCCAACCGGATGGGTGGTATTGAATTGATAATGCGATAATTACGATTCAATTTGTATTTCAGAAATGTGCGTGGTGACTTTTTGCCTTGGATGTCATCCAATTTTCAAATGATAATTACTGCGACGACAGTCTAATTAAGTTTGCAATAAAGTAGGATCTAGTCACTGATGAAAGATAGTGAATGCTATCTGAAACGTCGGAATCCTCAGAGACATGTTGCTTGACTTATTTTGTTTTACATAATGTTCTTCCCGGATTATACATTCATCGACATATCTAGGATCTAGCCTGTATGACTGTAGCGTTCCAAAGGCCCATCTGCATTCTTCATTTTCCAGAGAGATTTACGATATTACAGTCTTTTGCAGAAGAAAATCCTAAAGTCTGCTATTTTGTATTATTAAGTCGAGAAGGTTACAGTGTGGAGGCGTGTGTATTTGCAGAAAGTGTTTCCGAATTCCAGAACAAAATTTTGACCCATCTGCAATATTGCAGAACATGAAAAAGAAGTATTTCTACCACAGCGGCGAAGATGATGATGATGATGATGATTTCTACCACTAGACTGTGTATAGTGACTGTACATAATACTGACTGTATAATCACCAGGGAATGAGCATAAGACGTTCGGAAACAGCATTGATCCAGTGAAGATGACAGAATTAGGCACGCTGTTAAAATTACTACCACAGGCGGCGTTTCAATCAAGTGTTACATAACACTTCCTCAACTGCTGGCAGAGAACATTCCAACCAAGTGTTGATGGAACAGGTTACAACGGCCAACATATTTTCCGTACCGTCTTAGAAGATATCTTGAGTGTGTTTGACTTCAATGCCGATAGATTGGTCATGAATCTTGAGATATGTCCTTTTCGCAGGTTTTGGCGGTTTTATAGCTCTCTTGGGCTGCGTGATTGTACGTGGTACAAAGATAGTTAAACCACGGAATACTCCCTTTAGAAATCCATGTGACACGTGTGTAGCCTGTTGTATTACTAGGAACCTATGAAATGACAGAATAAACGCATAACGAAATAAATAAATGAGCTAAATGCTCATTTATTTATTATGGGTTCACCACACCACGAAGTGGTGTGGTGAAACCATATTGCTTTTTCTGATGTTTCTTCTCCTTCTCCTCCTCCTCCTCCTCCTGCCATATCTTTAAATGGATTCAGCTTCTTCATTTTAGGGCCTAAGGTCCTGAAATTTGGTATGGAGGTACAGTGGGCAAATACCCCTAGGCGTTTTTTAAATTATTGTGATACAGGCTTTTAGAATGGTTTTATTTGAGTTTTTTGGCTGTGTTATAGCAAATGTATTACTGTGTTAGTCTGCCTTGTTTACCACGTTTGGGCATGAGTCATCAGAATGGAATGCAGGGCATCAACCAATAGGCATGCAGCTTTCCTCTATACTTCTTGCTGATTGGCTGTTGGGATTTAACTTGATTAACACCTGCACAGAAGCATTTCCATACTGACAGTATGTCTGTATTCAAGTGTTTTGGTAGGTATTTCAAGCTTTCCTGCTCCAGCATTGGAATGCCGGGCATGGACGTTTTTTTTTAATTTTGAAAATCAACAGTTTGCATTATGCAATT